AAAATCAGAAAAATAAACTTCATCATTTTGAGAAACGAATATATTATTTACAGCTGATATTGTGCATTAATTGCAGGTCCACCATCTCCACTATATCCTTTAACTCCAGTTCCCACAATTGTTACAATATTGCCATTTCTTAATATTTTTCTAATTCTATAATTTCCAAAATCAGAAATATAAACTTCATTAGTTAATGAAACAAATACACCACATGGATGGCTCAATTGTGCGTTAATTGCAGGATCATCATCACCACTAAATCCTTCTTCTCCAGTTCCTGCGATGGTGACTATAGTTCCATCTTTTAATATTTTTCTCACCCGATGATTTTGGATATCTGCCATATAAACTTCATCATTCGGAGCAACAAATACCCCCTCTGGAGAATATAACATTGCTTCAGTGGCTAATTTTTTATTCATCATTTTAGCCTTTTTCTTTACTTTATTTTCATCATTTTCTGATGATGAAGAACCGGATGAAGAACAAAGGCTTCGTTTCATTTTTTTTGTAAAAAATCCAAAAGATCAAATGAACTGTGGTGGAATGAACTGTAATTTATATTGCAACAAGCACCAGCTCCACTTCTCATTGGTTTTTGCCATTTTGGCTTGAAAGAACATTGTTTGGTTTTTGGCTGGAATTACAACTTCTTCGTTTGAGAGGTTGGAATGTTGCACTGGTGTTAATTTATTTCTGTTCTGATTGGTATTGGTACAAGTAAATATTGGTTGCTAATATTGCTGTTTCATTTCCATCATTATTCGTTGAATGTTAATTAATCATTGGCTAATAAGGCCAATCATCATTAGGAAGAAGAACTTAGCAAGAGCTTTATTTGAGGAGTCTAGAAGAAAGTTTCTTTTATTATTGGTGAAAACAGATTATCTTTTATCCAGTTCAAATGTACCAAAACCTTATTATTTTCTATAAAACTGATATCAGGATTCTCACTCTTTTAAATTGTTATAAATATTTATTTCACGGATTGTTCACACAATGGTATTTCAACCTTTTTCTAATTTGGAAGGT